TGTGTGTGTGTATGCATGTATGGACATCTGGGGATTTGTCAGTCTTAGATTTTATCTATCACAACCATTACTAACAGCTTCAAGCATAAATTTAACATTTGACATGGCTGGATCTAGGGGACTTCGCTTGTCACCAGGATCCTGGTGTTTGAGATTTGGTGCCTAAATGTGGAACCTCATTCTCAAATAGGCTTTTCTCATGAGGTGGTAAAAAACAGCTCCTGGCTAAGTCTAGTAAAGAAGAGAAACAGGATGTAACTACTGGGGATCTATACTGACCATGTTCAGAGAAGTTGGCCAGAATGAGAACTCAGGAAAGACCACTGTATGTACAAGGTAGAAAGCTATCCTGGCTTTTTAATCAAAATAATTTGCTAAAATATTTTTAAAAAAAAATAAGTGTTAGTGCTGGGTGCTGATGGGTCATACCTTATAATCCTGGCTACTCCAGAGGTTGAGATCTAAGGTTCAAGATTCAAAGCCAGCCTGGCAGGAAAGCCCTTGGAGATGCTTAACTCTGATTAAAAATATCAAATAGCCAGAAGTAGAGCTGTGACTCAAGCAGTAGAGCACAAGCAAAAAAGCTCAGGGATAGCCTCCAGGCCCTTGGTTCAAGGCCCAAGACCTGCTCAGAAAACAAATGAACAACAACAACAACAAACCACCAAACTATAGTGATAGAAATTAAACTCCAAAGCTTGAAAAGCTGTTAGGAATTGAAATATTAACTGGAATTTCTACCATATTTTCATCCATTTGTTGCTGAGCAATGAAAGGAAGGTGACAAGCCATCTGAGCCTGAGGAAGGCCTTTCAAGAAGAGTAGTGGTTGAGTATTTTGTTGGCCAAGAAGTTTCTAGATGAAAGGAACAAGAAAGGAAGGGATGGGGAGGGGGAGGGGGGCAGGTATAGGTCAGACCTGACCCCACCAAGAACTGGAGTCAGTAGAAAATGGATTAAAATCTCAAGTGGGGCAAGGAGAAGGTCGTCAGTAGAAGCTTTTCTCTAGATTTGATGGCTGTATTTCAAACACGTGGGGCTTGCTATTTGTTTTAGTCATTTCTCATCTCTCTGGAATAAGCAGGTATCATTCCCCCATGTAGTCATTGTACAATGATGGACTGTATTCAAAAGATCCTCCATCTCTTTGTCTGGCTGTGTCACTGGCAGGAAGATGGTTCTCAAACCCAGAACCTCCATCACCTGGGAACTTGTTAGGAACATGGATTCCCTGGCCTGATCTCAGGGATTTCTCCAGTGGAAATTCTGAGGATGTCTCCCATTAATCTGTGATTGTTTTTAAAGGCTCCAGCTGCCAGCTTTCATATGAGAATCATTGCCTCCAAGACCCCGCTTGTCCTCAGGCAGGGTGAGGTTTTCAGTAAAAAGGGAAACAGAATCAAGAATATGAGTTCCTGCTGATGAGGAGGTGAAGGGGTGGCGGTATCAATCGTGGAGGAACCTGGCAGCTATTCAGAAGCCACTAAGGACTAGAAGAGGAAGGTGTTAGAAGCAAGAAGGCCGAGTTGTCATTGTCTTCAGGCTTGTGGAAGGCTTCCATTGGACAAAAGGCAGCATGGCTTCATGTCCTTGGACAGTGGAGAAAGGTGTGCATGGTGGGGGGAGGCAGGGAGTGATAGTTGTACAGGCATCATTCCTGTCTGGCAGAGGTTAAGTTCCAGAACTGGTCTTGGATGTGGATCACTGAATTTAGAATCAGGCTCTTCCATTCGACATTTGGAGCTTGCAAAAGAAGGGCATGGCAAGATTTCTTTCATAGAAGGCTTATAGAGTTTGTGGAGCCTTGAGACTTAAATAAATCCAGTGGCATATAACAAGGCAGGATGACAGTGTGCTAATTGAAAAGGACCTTGGGTCAGAATGTGTAGTAAAGAGTACAATTGCTGTAGGCAGTCAAGAAGTGGAGAAATTGGCACAGTGTCACTTTTTCCTTTGGACAGAGGGTGAATCTATCAGCTTGGCATATTTCCCCAAGTCTGATGGCAAAGTATTGATCAATTTGGGCTGGATTTTTTTCTTTGGGGCATTTTTTTTCTCTCTGGGTTGGCTAAGTTTTGTTAAATCTGCCAGGTTAAAGTGAAGGGTTGTATTGGAAGACTTTGAACATGCACTGTTGTTCATGTGTTTGTTTGCATGCAGAGTAGGAGAGACAGTATTTTATCCTGGGTGTCTTAAATGGAAAGAGACTCAGAGAAGCATAGTTTCACTTCAGACAGCCTTTCAACATAGGAAAGACATAAATGAGCCTGCCTGAGGGGGCGTTTGTTTTGTAGGGTGAAGGATGCAAATTACTTATTTTCCCTAGTAGAAGCCATCTCTGGGATGGTAGGAATACGAAACCACTGCAGATGAACAAAGCTTTTCCATTGCCTTTTCCATCTTTGCATCATGCTCTCCTGTGGGTGGGTCATCAGATTCCCCAAACTCAGAACCATGAAAGAAGGCTAATAGACAGTGAATGCAGGAGAGAAATAGCCTTATGGCCAAGGGAAAGTCAGAAGCTTTGGAAACTACACAAAGGTACTAGGATTGTTTTCCCCAGAAGTTTGCATGCAGTGTGGTCTGGTGTTTGCTTTTTTTTTTTTAATGGTTTTTCCAGCTGTACACCACAGGTATGAAGACAGCTTGATGGTAAGGTAACTTGGGGAGCATTGCAGGGCAGGGTATTCCTTTCTAGTCATAATAAGTATAATGCCTGTGAGCAAGGGTGTTCCCCTGGCAGAAATTACTACTGGTGATTGTCCTGGGGTCCCAGAAATCAGAAGAATCATCTCCCATTTTAAGGTATTAAAAATAGTCATTGCAGCCAGACACCAGTCACTCACGCCTGTAATCCTAGCTACTCAGGAGGCTAAGATCTGAGGATCACAGTTCAAAGCCATCCCAGGCAGGAAAGTCCGTGAGACGCTTATCTCCAAATAACCACCAGAAAACCAAAAGTGGTGCTGTGGCTCAACTGGTAGAGCACTTGCCTTGAGCTGAAGAGCTGAGGGACAGCACCCAGGCCCAGAGTTCAAGCCCCACCAATGACATTAAAAACCAAACAAAACAAACAAAAAACAGTCATGCCTTGTATCTTGATAGAGAAGTCCCAGCTGAAATGTCTCCCCTAAAATGGAATAATTATTTCTTAAATGCCGGCCACCTGCTCCACCCACAGGCCATTTTCTCTTTCTAGAAACCCAAGGTTGGTTTGTTAACTTTTTGTAAAGTGAGCCTTTTGTAGTTTCTCCTTCCAAAATAAGGTTATCCCCAGTGATAATAAATCACAGTTCTTACTTTTCCATTATTCTACCTAACTAGTTTCCAATCGTATACAAAAAGGCATGTGCTAGGGTTTTTAAATGTCCCTCTTGATTCAAGAAGTTCCTTGACTCAAGACAGGGATCTGTCTTTCTTGGTCATCGTGACATTGTTCAGTGGAACATAGCCTGGTGGATATAGTTGCATGAACACTCTATTCAGTGAATGGTTAATAAGGAAGCACTTGGTAAATTAGATTCACTCTAAAAGTGGTGATTAATTATACAAGAAGCAGACACCTCTACCTTCCCTTCTGTCCTAATTTTGTCTCTCCCTTTCTTAAAATATACTTTGAGGTATGCTTGTCAGGGTTCTAACAATTCCAAATCTAAGATTTGCTATTTGTCATTCTTGCCTGGTTTTGAGTAAGGGACGATTTTTTTTTCACTCTTAGGAAATAGTATTTACTTCACCCACAGGGCTAAGACTACAAATCCCACTACAACTCAGTGCATACTCAAGACTGTGAAGGGACAAAGCTGAACCTGGATAGGTTATATGGAAAGCAAACAGGATTCTAGCCTAATAAAGTGTGTGGCTTCCATCATTCCCAAAAGTACTAATAGAAGTTCTTGTTCCTCAAGCATGCTCTGGAGTCCACAAGGCAAAATAACTCAGTTATTCTGGATTGGAAGCAGATCTTCCTGGGTTCATCTTAAAGAGGGAGAGGGAAAAAAATATCAAGAAATCCAAGTGTGGAAAATATTCCTGATTAGTCTATGAATCGGCCTTTTCACTAAAAGCAACAAACCTTATCCAGACCTTTCCAACAGGGCTTTGGTGTGCCACCTCTGTGTCTGTGTGTTACCTTTGGTGGTGGTTGGAAATGGCAGGTGGCCAAGTGGAAAATTTCACAGCCCTGCAAACATTCAGAGCACAAAACAGTGCAAACCTGAAATCCATCAGATGGCCCAAGTAGCCGTAAGCTTGCCTTACTCTGTGCCTCTTCCCCTTCACCTCGCCCCATTCCTTCCCTTTCTTGGGAGATTTCAGACATTTGTGATCCTATTTTCTCTCTCCCCTGTCCTGTAGCACTGTGAATCTGTACCAATATCTGGGTACTCCAGGGAGAGATTATTGTTGAAGAGCCAGCCAGAGCTGGCTGTTCTATTCTCAATCCATGCTCAGTACCAGGCTCATGACCACTAAGAATATTGTGCTGTGTCCTTGGGAGCTGGAAAGATCACAAGAGCGATCTTGTTAATCTTCCTGGCAACTCCGTTCAGTATGGAAATGGCAAGAGGTGGTTGTCCTTTCTCCCTTTTCGCAAAGTGTAAAATCAAGTGGCTTATTTTTGGATTTTGTTTTTCATGGTGCTGGGATGGAACCTAGGGCCTCGCACATTCTTGGCAAACCACTGAGCCTAGCTGCACCCTCCAACCCTAAGTGGCTGCTTTGGAGGCTGTGTGATCAAGTTGTAGCTCAGCCAGGATTGTGTCTGAAATACCCAGAATTGGCTTCAATTTTATGGCATAGAAAGAAAAGAGAAAGGGTTGGGGGGTAGCTATGTCCTGTTAGTTTCCTGAGGAAAGAGAAAAAAAATACGACATCTCTCTATTGGAAATGGTCTTTGGTGAATTATCAGTTCATCTGATTGATCTAGTGGCTTCATTTGCTGAGCTAATGAGTAATTCAATAATGTACTCACCTATTTATTTTCCTTTTGTTCTCTGCTAGGAATTTCTCGCTTTTCTGTACAAGGAAGGAAGAATAGACCAGACCCTAAAGCCCCGGCTTCTGTGGGAAACTTCCATGGTGAAGTACAAGCCAAGGCTACTTGGGAACCGTGAGCAGTGAATGTTGTAAGTTGACCCAGAGCAATTGCTCTTCATCTGCAGAGGCTTGCCTTGTAAGAATTTGTGAATCATTGGCTGCAACCCAGCCAGGGTGATGAGGGGTGTTAGCAGGAACTCTAGCTGATCATCTAATTAATTCCTTATTTTAGAAGAGGAGTTTCTGCTTGTGTTTGCTATGAACTTGCCTTTCTCTCAGCTTCTGAACCCAGCTCATTAGTTCTGGAATAAAAGAGTGGAATTCAGTGATCTCTTTCATTGGAGGAATACCTGTTCTACTGAGACAGCTAATACTGTCATTTTGAGCAGCCTCTGAAGGGGTTATTGCTGTTCTTTTAGGTTGATGAATAGACTGAGAATTGGTAACCAGGATTTTCATCCAACTAATGTTCTTTCTTATGTGAAACTTTGAATGGGAACACCTTTTTTTCTGGGCCTCACAATCTTGAAGTATACAAGTATGAGCAGTGACTTGTGGTCCTCATTCAAATTTTCTTATTTTACTGACTTTTATGAAGCTATTTTCAATTTTGAGATTAGCAAAAGAAAGTCAGATGAATATTATTGAGATGTTTTAATATCAGGTAATTAATAAGATGACCCAATGTCAAAGAGCTCCTTTTCTATGAAACTTTAAGGGGGTTTTCCTAACTCTTCCACTTTTTGGAGATTTTACCTCTTTGCTAGACAGAGTTATACATAAGTTTTAGAAGAGTTGGAAGTGGTGCTGTGGCTCAAGCGGTAGAGTACTCACCTTGAGCTGAAGAGCTGAGGGACAGTGCCCAGGCCCAGTGTTCAAGCCCCACAACCGACAAAAAAAAAATAAAAAATAAATAGAAGAGTGCTGATTAAGAAACAATAGTTATAGGAAATGGAGTTTGGCCACTGAGCATCTTTGAGAAATAAATACTTTCTTCAAGGGCCAATTTCAACCTGGTTTTTCTGTGTTTGGTGTGTGTCTAGGCTAAACAGAGAAATTATAGTTTTGTAATATGCACTTTTATATGTTACTATGTGTATATATGTATGGGTTATATGTTACTATGTGTATATATGTATGTATGTATCTTCATAATTGTTAATCACTGACTTTGTGCAGTTGCCCATAGACTATAAAAGGGCAAGATGGGGCATATATGAGAGAGAAAAAATATAACAAACAGAAAAATTTCTGCTGAAAAGTTTGGCTTTTTAAACATTTGAATTAGACTATGCCTAGGCATCCATATTCCTTGAGGGTTAACTATTAATATTGAAATATGTATTGAAAATTTGCCATTGCCTTATAGTTAGACAACAGGCAAGTATTTTATGTGTTTCCATTTGTACATATAATTATCTTGGTTCTAGTGGAAATTACATCGCTTCTGGGATCAGTGGATCAGAATTCTAGGTCTTGCCATTAAGGTCAAGTATATTTATGATTCTGAGCAAGTCATTAATCCTCAAAGTGGTATTGTAAAATTCTGTATGTTGCTATGTACTTTGTTCAGGGAGCGTTTGACCTTGGCTGAGGCTTCCCAAAGGAGCAGAACATTGTGTAGGCACTTGAATACTTACCAAAAAGCTATCTCTTATTGTAAAAGTTCCTATCACTATCAGAGAATAACTTAGGACTTTGTTGGATTTGAGTGCTAAGAGGTTTTACAAGAAAGTCTTTTTCCCAGTTGAATAAGGGTTGGGATGATAATATTGTGAAGGTATATTTTTTAATCCCAGGAAGCACATGTATTACAGATAAGAGCTATATGTCTCAGTTTTCTATAATCAAGAAAGTTTTGTTTCAAATCTGATGTTTCTTTTTAACTATTGCTTTGAAGTGCTCATGTTAGACCTCAGACATTAAGTGAGGTTTTCAAAGAAGTTCTGAATTGTAAACTTCCTAAGATGCCACATGGCCAACTTAAACTCATTTTAGAATCCTTCTGTCATGAGAAAGAGGAAGAAAATACTGAATTTCAGTGAGCTTCTTATATGTGCTAAAGAGTTTTCAAAACAGTACTACTTCAGAGGGACGCTCCCAATTTTCTTAATACATTTTGATATCAGTAAACTGTTCTAATCTTGGCACAATCTTCTTACAACATGAGATTTTTCTCTAAATCTGATGTCTTGAGTATCTGAGGTCAGGTTCTCATAGGGACAGTATGAAGCAAGAGGCTGGTAACTTTCATGGAACACGTGTTTGTACATAGATGGGGCATGACTGAGGGTGTCTGGGCATGTAATACTCATAGCAGATGAATGAAATACTGTAGACTGCACCCCCCAGATCATTACTCACTGCATCAACTCCTTTCTGTGGGTTGGTATCATCTCTTACATCTGTCATCAACTTCTCCTAACAGATGGCCTTTGCCATGAAGGTGTCTCAGATGTGGTATTCTGTGTGAGAAAGGAGCAGAAGTGAAAATGAACGAGTCAGGAGACCTAGGTTGTGCACATGATGCTGCAGGTGGCTGTAGAACTGTGAGCCATGGTACTCTGGGACCCATGGGAGGATAGGCAGCAAGAAAAATAGATACCTCTGCTGTTTGCTTCCACTCTCTATGTCTAACATTGCATAAGGTGATGAAGCACATTGGACCCTCCTAGAAATCAGTGATTGGTCATGATCTCATTTACAGTTGCTTCTAATACATTACCATGAAATTCTTTCCATAATACTTTCCTGTGGACCATATAGAAACCTACAAGTATCTGTTTGAGAGCCTCTAAGAATACCATTTAGTCTTTTTGAGTTTTAGGGTCTGTATTCATTGATCATTTTGATAATTAAACAGGAGCTCTATAGTTGTACTTTCCACCCCCCCCATCTCTTTTCTATCTCTCTGTTTACCTGCAGTGCTGAGGATTGAACTCAGATCCTCCAACCTGTTAGTCAAGTGCTCTACCAAAAAGCTATGTCTCCATTCTGAGGTTTACTCTTAAACAACTACTATAATATTGTTCAGCGCTGAGCAAGGGGATTGGGATCTTGTATTTCTGGCCTCAGCTTCCCCAAATGGTCTTCTTTGGCCTTATTAAAGCTATTTGGCATGATCTATATGCAGTGGCATCACTCCACCTCTCTCCATCTTCTCCTTTTTTCCTTCTAAGCATTTTACAGGTTATATTTTGGCTATCATCACTCCCCTAAAGTAGACTGCAAGCTCCAGTAAGATGGGGATGTTCTTTATTATTATTATTTCCTGGTGAATCCCTAACACCTGAAATCCTACTTGGTCCAGGAAATACTTGTCCAGTGATTATCTAGGGATAGAGTTAGTGCATGTTTAGCCTTGTCTTATATGGGCCTATGCCATGAGGAAAAAAATAGATAAACCATATTCTCATGAGAACTCCTTGAGTCTGATAACAGTTTGATGAGGGTAATGAACAGATGGCGTGGACAGGCCCAGTCTTATTTTCTTTTCCTTAAATTTAGTCTATGATACATGCAAATAAATATGCGAGAGGAAATGATTTGTTTAAGAAAGAAAGTATGACAGAAATATCAATAGAGCGTGGGGATTTTTTTCTGATACTTTTTAAAACTTCTACGCTCTCCCCTTTTCCATTTGAGTGGTTTGTGGTCTGTGAGCAACCTGCCCAGGCATCCTGTGACCCATGGTGCTTCTGTCTCCTATCTTATCTCTCCCACCTTTGAGCTCCTGGTAATTCCCAAAGTGGGCCTGGACCAGAAGTGCTGTATCTACCTGGAAGTTGCCTACCTAGAAAAATGACTGGCTGGCACTTCATCCCAGTGCTGGGCTTGGGAAAAAGAAACTGTGTGCCAGTACAAAGTAGGCCTAGAACGTCCTGTATGAACAAGGGGTAGTTGACAAAAGCCTTCATAAGAAGACAACCTATTGCATTGCTCTCAAGGACCATGGGAATAAAGGTGTCAGTGATTTTTCTGTTTATCAATATCCCCCCTTCTCAAAATACCTGCCCAGCAGGTCAGAATTAGGCCATCTTTAGGAAGAAATGGAAAATACAAACACTGCTCTGCCTGGATGAGTAGTATTTTTCTGTCTTTGTAAATAGAAGTTTTGAGAACATGGAACCTGGATTTCTACTCCCAAGAATAAAGGAATTATATACGTACTCTAATAAGAGCAATGTGTTGATCCATACCTTTTAGATTGGCCATCTGTAATACTATATTCTCTAGCATGATCATAAGATAAACCAGGATCAGAAGATGAGGGAAGATTTTTGTTAAAAGAGGGAGAAGCAACCTCCCTGAGTTTAATCCTTGCTTTCAGCCTCTGGAATTGGCCTGTGTATCATAAAGGCAAAGAGCACTTTCCATGCAAGTAACTGGGTGTAATCTCAAAACCACTAGGGCTTCCTGTTTTGCCTAGTTGGCCCTTTTCCTCAGACTTCCTCCAATCACCTCTTCCTGAAAGCCTCACTAATTCCTGCCCATTTTTGCTTTGTGTTATTGGGTGGCAGGAGGCAGAAAATTTGTCAGAGTTGTATGAGATGCTGCTTCTGAAGGGAGATGTAAGTGTGGCTGGTCAAGATGTGGCACCATCATCTCTACGCTCTTCCTTTCAACATCCTGAAGAAGAGGTAAAAGTGCAAAGAACACCCAGAAGCAATGGAAGGAGAAGAGTTCATGAATCTACTATATTCATGTATTCTACTGTATATTCATTCATGAGGAAAAAGCAATCATCAATAGCCTAGTTAGGATGTTTCCTAACTGAACAGCCTTAAGGGAAAAAGTTGGTGTGTCTTATTGGAGTTTAGAATTCAGTACACAACGTACTGGAAGACTGTTGTGTACTGTTGTGTGCTCTGGTCTGCCAGAAAGGCATTGCTGAGTCCTCTGTGTTCACTGACACGTGGGGCTTTCTCTAGAGCTTCATTGCAGGATGAATGTAGTGGTGGGGTTCGCTGTGCTGAAAGGGATGATGAGTAAGATTCCTCAGAGCCAAGTTTTGAAGGGAGGCTTCAAGCACTGCTGGGTTCTCCTGATTAGGCCTGGAAGCAAAGATAGGATTTTACTCTCTGTGCTT